TTTTTTCAAGATTTTATTTATTTATTTGACAGAGAGAGACACAGCAAGAGAGGGAACACAAGCAGGGGGAGTGGGAGAGGGAGAAGCAGGCTTCCCGCTCTCTAAAATAAACTCTTAAAAAAAAGATAAAGAAAAATATAAATCTTACTCAGAATCCTAATATAAAAATAGTAGTGTTGCTCTAGTATAATAATTCTAACATATTTGATCACCTGGTTTCCCAAACTATAAGGATAAGAAGAGACAATTAAGAGGAATGGGGAAATGAGTGTTTCCCCAGTCTTCTAAATTCTAAAAACAGAAAACCCAAGACAAATATGTTCCTAGAGACAAAGAGGGACATTGGTAAATATGAGAAAACTGGAAAGAAATAAACAATAATAACAGAATATTTTAATATCCCATTCTCAGTGATGGAGAGAACTAGACAGAAAAGCAAAAAGAATCTGGAAAACTTGGCCAATACAACCAACCAACTTGACCTAACTGCCATCTATAGAACACTCCTAATAAGAGCAAAATAAACATTCTTTTCAAGCATACATGCAAAAATCTCCAGAGCAAATCATATACAATAAATCTCAATAAATTTAAAAGAATTGAAATCAAACAAACTATGCTCTCCTACCACAAAAGAATTAAATTAGAAATGAACAACAGAATAAGGATAAATATATATAACTGACCCTTGAATAACATGGGTTTGAACTGTGCAGGTCCACTTATACATGGATATCTTACAGTACAGTACTGTGAATTTGCTTTCTCTTCTTTTGATTTTCTTAATAACATTTTTTCCACAGCTTACTTTATTGTAAGAATACAGTATATAATACATATAACATACACAATATGTGTTGTTTATGTTATTGGTAAAGCTTTGGTACACTATTATTACTAAGTTTTTAGAGAGTCAAAAGTTATATGCAGATTTTCAACTGCACAGGGGTTGGTGCCCCCAACCCTCACATTGTTCAAGGGTCAATTGTAGATCAATGGAATAGAATTGAGAGTCTAGAAGTAAACCTGAACATTTATGGTCAACTGATTTTCAAAAAAGAGGCCAAGACCACTGAATGGGAAAGGAACAGTCTTTCAACAAAAGGTGCTGGGACAGTTGGATATATCCACAAAGAAAAGAGTAAAGTTGGACTCCTACCTCACGCCATACAAAAAAATGAACTCAAAGTGGATCATAGACCTAACGTAAGAGCTAAAACTATAAAGCTCTTAGAAAAAAACATTGAAGTGAATCTTAGTGACTTTGGGGTAAGCAATGATTTCTCAGATACAATAACAAAAATACAAGTGATAAAAGAGAAATTGAGAAGATGGACCTCATCAAAATTTAAAACTTTTGTGCCTCAAAGGATGCCATCAAGAAGGTGAAAAGCAAAAAGACTGACCGAAAATATGTGCAAATCATATATCTGATAAGGGACTGGTAGTCAGAATATATAAGGAATTCTTTTTTTTTTAAGATTTTATTTGTCAGAGGGACAGAGAGAGAGAGAGCAAGTGAGCAAGCACAAGCAGGGGGAGCAGTAGGCAGAGGGAGAAGCAGGCTCCCCGCCGAGCAGGGAGCCCGATGTGGGGCTCCATCCCAGGGCACTGGGATCATGACCTGAGCCGAAGGCAGACGCTTAACTGACTGAGTCACCCAGGCATCCCTATATAAGAAATTCTTACAACTCAATAATGAAAGATAAATAATCCAATGGGCTCAAGATCTGAACAGACATTCTCTAAATAAGATATACAAACAGCCAATAAACACATGAAAAGATGTTACATATTACTCTTTAGAGAAATGCAACTCAAAACCACAGTGAAATATTACTTCATACCCATGAAGATGGCTATGACAAAAAAGACAGACAGTAACAAGTGTTGGTAAGGATGTGGAAAAATGGACCCCTTATATATTGCTGGTGGGAATGTAGAATGGTGCAGTTGCTTCAGAACACAGCCTAGCAGTTCCTCAACAAATTAAGCACTGAGTTATTATATGACACCATCTTCCCAAGAGAAATGAAAACATATGTCCACACAAAACTTGTACACAAGTATCCACAGCAACATTATTCACAATTGCCAAAGGTGGAAACAATCCAAATGTCTGTCAACTGATGGATAAACAAAATGTGTTATATCCATGCA